CCACAATTAGGACGTGAGCTCCTTGAGAGCAGGGACTATGCACATGTGCCTGGCACATAGTAGGCCCTTAACGAATGCTTCTTTCTACACCCGACTGCATATGATTGTACACAGAGGGACCACCTTTTTAATGGAGTACTTATTCTCACCATCTATGGCAGTTTCTTGGGGCCAGAGGGACTGCCTAGGGATGCTGCCAAGTTGTCTGCACTTTTAACGCTAACCACCTTCCCTTTGGTATTCTGTCCTTTCTTGTAAAAATTGGGAAACAATTTAGCTATATCTGACCCCAGGGAACCCTCCTTTTTCCTTTTGGAGTTGGACAATGAGACAGTCAGTCCCATAGAAGCTGCAGAGGGAGGCCGTGGCATTGAGGAGGGATTGCCCATCGGTATCCATGTCAATTTGGTCGTTTTATGACAATGATATTAGAGCCAGAAGAGGAAATAATGATGTGTACAGAAAACTCATTTTCAAAGAATATTTATAAGAAACACAATTTTTGCAGAATCCAAAATAGCCTTTCTCTGAAAAAGAGAATAGCTTCATACTTCTCTTTTATCCCTAACCTCTGAAAATTGAGTAGGAGGGAACATTTTAAAAATGCCACAAAAATGCTAAAAACCTAGTTAGAACATATCTAATTGATAGGAGCTAGGAAACTCTATAAAACATCTAATGTAATTTTTGTGGCCATATTAGAGGACCTCTCACATGGGGACTATTTAGATATAATCCTAGTCAAACTTTGCCTAACTAAGTAAGCAGCAGACCAGTTACTTGGAATACATAAATACCAAATAATTTATATGACATCCTAGATATGCCATTTAATATTATACTAGCGTTAGAGTATTAATGGAAAATATAAACCTCTGTTTGCAATCTTTGAGGAAGTATATTTTTAAAAATATTTTGAAATTAATATGATGATCTTAAGTGCATTTCAAATGAGGCAGGAAAAAGAACACACTGGATTTGGAATGGAATGACCTGGCTTCTAAGTCCATTTTTGCTGCTTACTCCTATGTAACCGTACACTTAACCTCTCTTGTCTATGAAATGAGGGAATTTTGATTCAATGGTCTTTTAAGATATTTTCCAAGGCTAAAATCTTATGATATTATAAATAAATAAAATGCAGTCAGCCACCTAGCCTTCTCTGTATTGTTCTTCCCTCCCTCCTTCCCTTCTGTTGACTAGGTGTAGTGATCTCATTAACAGGGAATAATAGTGTTTATTGTTGCACTGTACACCAGCTCCCTTGGTGCCTTTGTGACTGTTCAAAGGCAGTTATAATTCTCATTTGTCACTGGGTGGCTGACACAGAGAGTGAGGAATTATGGGAAGCCACTCTCTTACCTTCGACAACAGGTGTCTGTGACACTATACCTCAATCAGATATCACAGGGTACATTGGGAAGTACCAAGTCTCAGTAGCAGAGCAGAATTCCCAAGTCTGGAAGGACTGGTTTCCCCTTCAGCAAAAGGTGCTACAAGACAGACAGAGCTGTAGCCTTCGGGTGCTAGTGAGTGCACCAGGAAGTGGCTAGTACACTTTAAAGAACTTCTGAAAAGATCAAGGAGCATTTTAAAAGGCTATCAGGTACGAACTCTCTGAACTCCTAGTAAAATGACTCGTTTACTAATTCTAATTTTTTTTTAACCTTAGTGTTAAAGAATATAAACATCCTGGGGCAAGGGGGAAAAGTCTTTAAAGGAAAAATAGTCACTAAAGTCACAGTGCTGCCATACAGGAAAATTCTAAATGAAAATGTTAACTTGCCTTAGCAAGAGTTAAATAGAGTTGGCAGCCGTTTTAATCTTGAGGATTTCACCTCAAGTGTTGCATTTTTGCTCAATTAAGCCTATTAGAACGCTTTTCTGTTTCCTAGCAATAAGTTGTCTCCCCCCACCCCCTTTCCTGTTTAAGGGAAAGGTTTGTTTGGTTTTTAATCCAGAATGCTCCAGCTGTTGCTTAGATCTTTTCACATGCAAATTTTGCATGGTGCTATTTAAATAACCTCGTTCATCTTGGTAAGAGATACACCAGAAAAAATAGGGAGACTGGAGGGGAGGAGGGGAAGAGGAGGACGCCTTAGGGCTTATCCTGTTTTTGTTCTGGAAAGCAAAACGGTGACAACTCAGTGTCTTTGCTGCTGGTCATTTGGAGAGAGATTTCCATATGGCCAGTAGTCTTCTGGATTTGGGACTCCCACCATTGACAAATTTGAAGGGATACCCTTCCAACAGATCCAGCTCTTCAGTACTACTTTAGGATAGGGTTTTTATATTGAAGGCTACATCTTATCAAGTGATACAATCACTTTAAATACAGGTTTCGAAGGCATTTGTTCTGCATTTTGTTTTTCTCATCACTTCATCCTTCCCCCATAGAGCAGCATATAGATGGTATTCTCTATGAGACCATTTAAATAACTTTTTTAATAGCAATTTTAAAGAACTTTCAAAATTCATCTCTCACCCTGTTTTCTTTCATTAGAGATATTTACGGAAGTTCTTTGCCTTCCACAGCTGAACCTTTTCCTTGTGTCTCGCTGAGGCATTAACCAACCATGGCTGTCCTCTTCTCAGTTTTGTAATTAAAAGTAAATCTACCCTTGAAAATCAGTGATAAAGAAAATTAAACTTGTGGGAGGAGATTTATGTTGTTTTTCTTTTGTATAAAATAAAATGCAAGGAGTCTTTCTTTCCAAGAATGGTTTGTTTTGATTAGAAATACTTGCCTTTCTCTAAGCAAGTACCTTATAATTTTTCAAGCAGTAAACTCTACTTTTTGGAGAAAACAGAAAGCCAGATTAAGAACTCTTGTTGAAAGCTTTTGGATGTCAGGTTTTGGTTTTGGTTTTGTTTTTTTCCCCCCCTTGGAGGGCTGGAGGTTGGGGTGTGGTTATTGTTACTATCCATATACCATTTTGTGTTTTTGCAACTTTTAAAAAATGCTGTGAGAGAAAAGGCTTTTTTTCTGCAATGTGGAAGATATTTTCAAATTCGTGGCTCTTTAAAAACTAAAAGTTGTCATCCCATCCTTTCCTTTGAACATGCAGAATTAACAAGAAGTACCTTAAGAAACTCTTTCAGTCCCCCAAGAAGAAGAATCTTCATGTAGAGACGTACTGGACAAAGATGGACTGTTAAGAAGAATTTTATTTTGGTTGAAATTTTCATCTTCCTACCAAGAACTGAAAAACTTTAACAGTTACCTTTTTCTTAGTGGGTGTTCAGTTTCTAATATTAACTAAGAGATTTTTTTTTTCTGAGATTTGAGGAAAAATTTCAGAAACTGAATTTTCCAAGTCCTGAGTTGAGAATGAAAGTTGAATTTATACCATTCACTTCCTACAGAGATAACAGCAACCTCCCTTATTCTTCCCACCAGGGGTGAACTGCAAGACAAGGCTTTGGCATCTATCTTTTCTTTCTTTCTTTTTTTTTTTTTGGTTTGTGACACTCCACCCACTCTAGCTTCTTCAGGTGGGTGTGTTCATTGGCACTGAGCTTGCAGCAAGATTTTTCTTTGGATAGTGAACCTGGTCTGGCTCTGGTGCAGTTGTTGCTGCTGCTGCTGCTGTTGGGAAGCCAGCTGGCAAGATGATGGAAGAAATCTCCATAATGGTAGCCTACGATGCCCATGTTTTTAGCCAGCTGTATGATGAGGACTTCCTTACAAGTCTTGTGGCAATCAGCAAACCCAAAACTCTGGTAGGTGATGCTTCATGGAACTAATGTGGATATAGGTATGAGCATCCATGTCTAATAGAGTAATCACTCTTGCTGCAGCCAAATTTTAATTTATTGGGGATGAAAATAAGAGTATTGCTTGTGGGTTCAAGTACAGAAAAGAGTGGGAACCTACGTTTTTTCTTTGGCTTTTACACACTATATACTATTGTAAAACATTTGGAATAGTACAGAGTATGTGTGTAGATAGATATATTAAATTTTAGGTAGATTATTTAAGGTGTGCTAATAGTGAAAGAATTTTTGAATTGGAAAACTAGTTGGTCCAAAGTACCTGCCACATATGTGTGTATGTAAATAGATATAAATTTAGATATAGTTACATGTGTGTGGACATACAAATACCAAAATGTGTGTATGTGTGTCTATGTGTATATATGTATATGTATATATTCACACATACATATATATATATGATCCTGTATAAACAAGTACATACATATATGAGCATATTGTGTTTATATCCACACAAGAGGTACAGTCATTTGCATACTTATATTTCTTCCTCTTTGCAGTGGTATTTCTCGTAAGTGGACAATAACAGAAATACTCTAAATGTATGTTCAGTTAAATAACTAACCCAGATAATTTTAATTTTCAGACTCTACAAATTGTTACTTGTCTTGGGAATGATTGTGAAAATATTCTGTGGTCCAGTTTTGTTTGGGATTTCATGTTTGTGAAATATTTCAACCATTTTCTAAAGACTAAGGTGGAAAGGATTTTTTGTTTCTAGTTCTTGTCCTCACAACCAGCGGATAGAAAAAGGATATGTTTGGTGTTTGGTTATCTGAGCTCTGAGATTGCAGGTGACCAACCCTCCAGACTTTATGCAAACTTTCCAAAGTATTGTGAATATGCCGAAATTTAAAGTGAGGGACAATCAGTAGAGAAATACTGTCCTCTGACAAGGTCAGAGTGTGCCAGGTATGTAAACTACTTGCTAGAGGGTGGGTTTGATTCCACCAAAATTCATCTGTCTCTAGAGGGATCTGATATTTTAGGGCAGTGGTTCATTCACACAGATAAATTGGGCCCATTGTGTACTGTTTAGACTTAAAACATAGTTTGTTTAAATCTTTGTTTCCCTTTGGATAGCTTCTGCCATATGGAAACACTAAAGTCTAATTTAAACCAATCCTGTTAGGTAGGTAGGCTGAGCTACTCCTACTCCCATTATTATAGGAAAGAAGGGTTGGTTTGACTTGTCTTAGGTGACATAAAAAATCTGGGTCTACCTGGGAATTGGATGAACGTCTTCTGACTCAGTCTGTGCTGCCATTACTGTGTCATGCTGCTCCTGTATAACGAAACAAGTACATACAAATAATGTGTACATCTGTAGCCAATATTTATAATTGTTGACATTCATATAGCCCTTTAAATTTCATAAATCTCTGCTCACAATAACCTTCTGAGGCTGGGCGTGTCTTATCCCCATTTCACAGACAAGGAGACTGAGGCTCAGAAGTGACTTGCCCTAGGTCACACGGCTAGTAACTCAAGCCCATATCTGTTGGCACTTTATCTAAAATTTACTATCAGAAGGGGAAGCTAGGTGGCGCAGTAGATAGAGCCCCGGTCTTGGAGTCAGGAGGACCTGAATTCAAATGCGGCCTCAGATACTTGACACTTACTAGCTGTGTGACTGGGGCAAGTCACTTAACCTTGATTGCCTCTTCCAAAAAAAAAAAAAGCAGAACAAATTTACTATAAGAGTCATTGAAGTATATATGGATGATCCTGAAAACACACTTTGCCTAATAATTTCAAACCATTTCTTTTTAAATCAGAACTGCTTGTAAATACCCAACTTGAGTTTTGTCTTTTTTCCCTGTCCCTGAATCCCCTCTTCAAAAGAAGCTAACAATAGCAACTTTTCTTACCTACTGATTACATAATGAAAACCTGGCATCCTTCTTCTGGTAAAGTGGCCTTATTGTGTATCTATTGTTGCTCTTGTGGGGTGGGTGTGGGGGGCTGTCAGTTGGTTCTGCAGTCCAAGCATGGAGTCCTTACAATGGTTACACTGTTGTGAAGGAACAATGCCTCTGAACCTTAGTCTGGCAGTTCTTTAACCATTCACATATACTACACACACACACACACACACACACACACACACACACACACACACACACACACACACACACACTCTCTCTCTCTCTCTCTCTCTCTCCTCTCTCTCCTCTCTCTCTCTCTCTCTCTCTCTGTCTCTGTCTCTTTAATAGATGCTTACGCCTAATACATTGCCTACCCGTAAACACCCTTCTTGGCTCTAACAACCTCTGACAGACAGTCCCTTCAAGTGTCTCTTCAGTCTCTCAAGGCAAAATGGTCCTTCAGATTTTGGCCACGAGCCTGGCAAGGCAAGGAATGCTATTGCCCTGTAAATAGGTTATCACACTTTCTAATAATAAAGGTGAGGTGGCTAGTGGTTTACATTGTATCCTCTCGGTTTGCATTGTGTCTGCTCTGTGAGATTCTTAATTTTTTTTTTTTACCAGTTGAGAAATTACAGAGTGCTGGGCAGTTTTCCTTTGAAATGTTGATTTGGTGCAGCTGTAAAAGCTATAATAGAATATTTGCCATCTCCTTGTGATTCAGTATTGATTCTTCTTTTATGTGAGGTAGAGGCTCTTAAAATTATGGTCAGGAAGCATCACTATATGAAAGAGAGATAAACACTCATGGATTTTCTCAGTATGAAATCCATTGTTTGCTACATGGTTTGATTTATTGCTGTGCAATGAAGTATGCTACGTTCCTGCCATTATAAAAATTGACTTTAGGGATAGGATAAATATCTAGGTATTATTTCTAAAGCTATTCAGTAGTCTCCTAGCATTAATTGAATTCCATTATGGAATTAGACTTCATTTATTAGTGGAATGTCTCTGCTCTTATGAGGGATAGTGAAATCCTATTAACAGTGATTTTCAAAAGTGAATTCTAGACATTTTCTTGGTGGCAATTACCTATACCTTAACCTTGAACTTGTCCTCTGCCCAGTCTTCCTCTACAGAGAAAAGAAAAATTGGCATAAGAAAATTTTGTAACTCAGGTACAGCCAGGGTAAAAAAGCTAAAAAGTGTTCCTGGGGGAAAAAAGATTCGGCAGGTTATTTGCCAGAACAAGTGACACAAAAACCTAGAGTCATTTTTTTTTGTGACTAGCAGAAAGAATATTTTAATAGCTAAGAATTTATAGTCATTTGACAGACTGAAAAGGCTCTGATGGATACAAGTAGAAAAATAACTTAGAATGAGGACAGATTTGAGATCCATTATTGTTAATCAGGCCTAATAATAATCTTACATTATAATAATGCCTTATAATTTACAAAACACTTTGCATATGTTATCACATTTATTCCTCAGCTTCAGTCTACCCAGTAAGGTAGATTATTAGAGGCATTTTTATCCCCCATTACAACTCAGAAAGGTTGTGACTTGCCTAAGGTAATGCCCCAGCTTGTATTTGAATTCTAGCTTTCTGTTTTCTAATTTAATGTTCTTTTTACTCTTTCTGTGCTGTTCTCCCCCCCCATCCTTTCATATGCAATTTCCTTACTGTATAGAGCTTGTACTTATAGCCAGCCCATCAGCCATATTTAAATAAAATTGATAGGTCCTTTCTCTGTTCTGCCTGGAATGACCTTTTAAACCATGTGGGTGGTAGGTATTTTACATTGATTTCAAATCCATCTCCACCTCTCTATTGTTAGTAATCTTTCTACCTGTGTCTAATAAGTTTGGGAGAAATCCAAGTAATTTCATTTCTTTACCTTGAGCAACAGAGAAGATAAGAAGGTTATTTGAATCTTTAAATTCTTTGAGTTCAAAATGTATATTTTAAGACTTTTAAAGACTCACATATATCTAAGTTTTGCAAGTCTAATAGAATGCACTTTCTGACCAGCTTGTTCATTTAAAGGTAAATATTAATTTTGTCCTATCAAACTTTTCATCCTGTTATCTTGATCAGGTACTGGTTAGGTTAGATAACCTCTGACTTTCCTTCCAAATGAGATTCTGTGCTATTAATATAAATTCACATAGGAATCCACCATTAAGTACATATTAGCTGATAATATACTTCCTGAAAATTGTTGCTAGAATATCTGAAATCATTATTAGTTAAATTCCAGGAATCCCAGAGTCTTCTTAGAAATATAAATTTGTGGGAATAATTCATTTTTTACCTTGAGGGGAAACCCCAAGCACCCAGAACTTAACGAGACATCATCAAGGTGTCATAGGTCAATCTATAACTGGCCTAACCTTGCCCTTTCTGTGCTTTCCCTATTACTTTCTGGCAACCAAACCTATGTGGGCAAAGGAGATTTTGTTTTTGCTCTTCCTTGGAGAGTTGTTTGAAACTCCTGTTCAGACCAGTCCTGCTCTTCCCATTATCCATCTACCTCCCACCCATTCCATCTCTATCTTCATCACCAGCTTCTTATATTTTTCTTGACCTTTGATGTTGTCCCAGATTTTTTTTCATCTTCCTTTTGTGAGTCTTTTTCTATTAGACTGTAAGCTCCCTGAGGGTTGGGATTGTCTTTCTTCAAATAGGCCTTCTCGTTTGACAACCTTATTCACTTCCTTGTTTGCAGTGACCACTTCTGTGCAAATGTGGCTCAGATCCATATCTTCAGTACTGACTGTTCTTTTGAGAGGTTCCCAAAGTGGGAGACACTGCCCTTCCGCAAGATCCCGAGGGGCGTAGTAGCCTGGGGTACAGTTGGGGAGTGTTGAATAAAAATAAGGGGTGGTGGAAGTTCGTGCATTATTTTGCAATAATTATTTATCCATATGTTATAATTCCCTACTAGACCATAAACTTCCTGTGGGCAGAGACAGGGCCTTATCTAAATTTTGCCTATTCCCCAACATTAGCAAAATTTTCTGTACACTTAGGTGCTTAATAAATATTTATGGAATGGCTCATTCTTTTTCATGTTGATGACTTCTCCCTATTGCACAGGTTAGAAAATAAGAAATAAGGATTAAGGGTCATTGACTATTTTTTCTTTTAACTGGAAAATAGTTGACTGCATTCTGCATCCTTTCTGGTTTATTTTAAATTAATGTAACTTGAGTTGACTAATTCTTGAGACTCATTTGATTCTTTCATTTTACATATAATCCCTCCCTCCCTCCCTTCCTCCCTTCCTTCTTCCTTCTTCCCTCCTTCCCTCCATTTATTCCTTCCTTTGTTCCCTCCTCCTTTCCTTCCTCCCTCCCTTCCTTCCTTCCTCTCTTCCTCCCTCTCATCATTTCTTATGCCCCCAATATAGTCACATACCACAGTTTGTTCATTTCCCCCAACTTGATAGGTACCTACTTTGTTTCTGTTTCCTTGCTACAGGTTTGTAGCTGTATTGTATTCTGTCTTGGATAGACTATATCTAGAATATTTTGTTCATTTCTGAGCACAGTGTCATGAATGGTATTCATAAAAGGACAACCAGGGTAGTGAAAGAATTGGAAACATGACCTACAAGTTTCAGTTTTTAAAATTCCATTTCTCCAGCCTAGGGAAGATGTAGTCACTCAGGGAGGCACTATAGCTCTATTTTCAAGTATTTGAAAGATACTTGTCTTGTGGAAGAAGGTTTAAACTTGGTCTGCTTGGACCCAGAGAACAGAGCTAGAAGCTCTAGGTGGAGGCTGCAGAGAGGCAGATTTCCTTGCTATAAGGGAACAAATCATCCCTTAACAATTAAAGCTGTCCAGAAGTGAAAAGGAAAAGGTAGGTTCAAATAAAAAATAAATGAGCACTCACTGGGGATGCTGTAGACAGGGGTTCTTAACTTGGGATCTATGAACTTCTTAAAAATAACATTGATAACTATATTTCATCAGTTTATAATCCTATGTATGTTATTTTCTAAATTTAAAAACATTCTGAGAAGTCAGCTAACAGTCAGTTAACAATCATTCATAAAGTACTTTTTACATGCCTGGCAATGTATTAAGTGCTGGGAATACAAAGGGGAAAAAAGTGTCAAGGAGCTTATGGGGAAGCTAGCATGCAAACAGCCATACAAAAACAAGAATACAGCATAAACTGGGGATAACCAATAGAGGGAAGGTGCCAGCATTAAGAGAACATCAGGAAGTCTTCTATAAGAAGCCTTGACCTCTGCTGTCTTTCACACTGGTCACTCTCTCCCCCTTGATACTCTCTTCTCTCTAGGTTTTTGGGGCACCACTCTGTCCTAGTTCTCCTCCTCCCTGACGGCTCTTTCTCTTTCTCCTTTGCTGTATCCTCATCTAGCTCACACTCTCTAACTGTGGGTGTCCTCAGGCTTCTATCCTGGGCCCTCCTCTCTTCACCCTCTATACGACTTCACTTGGTGATCTCATCAGCTTTCCTGCCCCAGTCTCTGTTGATCTCAGTCTCACATCTTCAGCTGCCTTTCAGACACTTCAAATTGGATGTTCAATAGAAATCTTAAACTCAATATGACCAAAACAGAACTCATTCTCTTTCTCCAAACCTTCCTTCCCCACTGACCTTCCTTCTTACTGTAGAGGGCAACGCCATGCTCCCAGTCCCTTGTTCAGTTAGCCTGGATTCCTCACTCTCTCACTCTCTCACTCTCCCTCTTCCCCATATCCAAGTTGTTCCCAAAGGCCTGTTGATGTCCCCTTTGCAACATCTCTCAAATCACCCCCTTCTCTCCTCTAATACTGTCTCCAGTCTGGCACAGGCCCTTCCTTATCACCTCATGCCTGGATTATTGCAATAGCATGATGGTAGGTCTGCCTACCTTAAGCCTCTCCCCACTCCAATCCATTCTCCATTCAGCCACTAAAGTGATTTTCCTAAAACGCAGGTCTGATCACGTCACCTTCCTAATCAGGAAACTCCAGTAACTTCCTATTACCTCCAGGAACAAACACAAAATGCTCTGTTTGGCATTCAAAGCCCCCTCCTATCTTTTCAGTCTTTTTACATCTTATTCCCAAACAAACTCCAGTGACACTAGACACCTGGCTGTTCCATGAACAAGACAGT